AACAGAAAAGTATGTCAACACACACAAACAAGCTTATTACAATGGACCTTGTGGCTCGGGGGCAACTGTAACACAGTGTTACAGTGTTGTTCATGTTCGTTTTTAATCAATAACCTAGGGATAAAATGTATACAAGTTTAAATTGACAGACATCTAAACTTTAGACAGCAGAAGAAAAATACTGTACATCCAAAAAATAACTTTCACACCTCAAAATCAGTTTGTCGTTAATAACTTCTGCTAAAGTTGAAAATGTCACGCTTCTTTTCCACAGATAGAGAGAGAATCCTATTGGGCATGTACAGATTAAGTGTCATCACTCTAGCTTGTTTCTGATTGGAGGAATTGAGTGTGGTACAATTGCCCCCTGTTACAATTGCCCCCGGTCTCCCCAGTGCTTCGTCAAAGTGATCAAAGTATAGTGTATGCTTTCGAATCAGTACTGTGATGTCATACACCAATCGTCTGTACACTGCAGTATAGTGCTTCGTCAAGGTGATCAAAGTATACGCTTTCGAATCAGTACTGTGATGTCATACACCCAGGGATGTAGTGGAGGCTAAATGCACAAAAGCCGTTTACGCACCTCCCAATATTCGGGAATTGCGTTTACCCACCTCCAAAGTGCGTTTATCCACCTTTCAATTGCGTTTATCCACCTCTAAATATCCTAGTTCCTAAGACATTTTAAATTAAGCTTATGTCGTTAATTTAGTTTCTTTAATTTAGTTAATTTAGTATAGGTTGTTAAACCTAAGACGAACTTTTTCACTCATTAAGACGGTCGCCTGCCACCACCTACTGGCGGTTTAGTGTTAAATGTTTAAAAGTAGCATCATTCTTTCTTATATGTAAATTAAAATCAATTTCATAACATTATTTCATGCAATTGTAATTTTTCAGTGTAAATGATTTAATTTGATCAACCCCTAGGGTAACAGCCCTATGGTGTCTTATTATTAGAGATAATTGAATTTATTGATCAAATTTAGGAATTTAAAATGAAATATGAAGCATATACATTTAATAATATTGGGGGAGGGGGTGCCCTTTAAAGGTGCAGAAATTACAATATGGTGATTTAAATATCAAAGCTGATATATCAGTGATGAGAATATTTTTTAAGAATAAGTCAAATTTAAAAAAAAATCCGAACAAGCAACTTTTTTACTCGGACAAGTGAAAGGCAGATTTACTTAGCGTATGAAAAGGCTTAATGTCGAGCCCTCCCTATATAGCAATGTCATCAGGAGACACACATACACCGGTAGGCAGTGGCCCACCTTACCTGGTGACCACGTCTTGGTCCACCAGAATTTATAGTTTACCCACCTCTTTTTTTACAACTACACCTCTGCATACACCAATCGTCTGTACTCTGTACAGTGCTGTCGATCACTGTCTGCTGTATGCTTTCGAATCAGTACTGTGATGTCATACACCAATCGTCTGTACTCTGTATAGTGCTGCTTCTATTTGATCACTGTATGTTGTATGCTTTCGAATCAGTACTGTGATGTCATACACCAATCGTCTGTACTCTGTATACTGCTGCTTTATTTGATCACTGTATATTGTATGCTTTCGAATCAGTACTGTGATGTCATACATACACCCAGAGATGTAGTGGAGGCTAAATGCACGTAAATGCCGTTTACCCACCTCCCAATATTCGGGAATTGCGTTTGCACCTCCAAAGTGCGTTTATCCACCTTTCAATTGCGTTTATCCACCTCTAAATATCCAGTAGTTCCTAAGACATTTTAAATTAAGCTTATGTCGTTTTAGTTTCATATTGTCCACACTCTAAAAAATGATGAGTTGGATTTACTTAAAATATATATGCACCATTTTTGTATCAAAAAATGTGCACATATCTTTTAAGTAAATCCAACACAGTGCAGGCCATGTGAGATCAAAACAAATCTTAGTTCTGTTAACTTAAAATTTAAGCTCATTGATATATATAAAATAAGACAATTAAATCAGTTGAACCAACCATTTTAACTTAGTTTAGATCTTCAGCTTACATGTCTTAAAATAAATAACATGCAAATCACACACAATAAAGCATTTCACTTTATTATTTATTTAAATTGCATCTTAAAATATATTCAAATAGAAAATAGTTGTTAAAATAATAATAATAATATAGTCACAATATTACAGTTTTTCTTGGATCAAAGAAATGAAGGCTTGGTGGGCGGAAGAGACTTCTTTTAAAAATATTAAACAATCTTAGTGTGTGTGTGTGTGTGTGTGTGTAATTTTTTCAAAAATCAATAAAAAACAATTAAATGCAACAAATTAGTCCATTATTAAATGCCTATAAATATATATAAAAAATAGTCTATTAAATAATATCTATTAATTTAAACAAAACAGAAGTTAATTAATGACTTTCCTCCAGAGGTTATGAACGAATCTCTTCAAAAACATTTTAGCAGTAACTACTGGAAAACAGTAAAGATCTACAATCTTTATTTGAAGCTAAACTTTTGTTTAAAGCGTATTTACTTATTTTGATAATAATTTTGAAGGTTTAATTTACTGAATTGTCGCTGTCATTTAAGAATAATATTGTGCTAGAATCAAGATTGCCATTATTTAATGATAAATCGTGCACACGGATCTGTAGGCAATGTGCTTTCGAATTTAATATTTGTATGTTAACGTTACCAAAAGTAGGCTAACCCGCGCCCAAGGCCCCCTTTCCCGCGATCCATGTAGGCCTATAGACAATAGAGATAGAGAACATGGGAATTTGTAAGTATGCAAAGTACATTTGTTTTATCCAAAAACAACTCGCTAATAAAGTAGGCCTATAATCTATCCGTGGGAGAGAGAGCGCAGTCCGAATTGGTCACACCGAACGTGTCAAACACGTCGCGTCTAGTTAGACGCTTGAATCTTCCGCAGCCCGCTCAAGTTAAAAATGTTCTACTGAGAAAGACGTTCGCGGCAAACGAGTCACCCAATTCGTGACGCCCGGCGCGAATGATGCGTCTTCGCGTCTTTGCATTGACTATGAATGTACTCTGCTATCGCAATTAAATTCGCGTTCGGTGTGAACACACCATTAATGCATATACGAGCCAACATCATGGTCATATATTTTGAAAAAACACAATATATAGCTACTCGCGTGCAAAACACTTATTTCATTCGTTAACATGTAGACTACAAATGTTTGCATTCGTAAGAAACGTTTCTAATTGTTGATGCAAAATTTGTAGCAATTCTGAAATTCAGTTAAAAGTAAATTTTTTGACCAAAAATGCAATAAATGATCATGTGTATAGGCCTAAGTACAAAAAATAAGCTTACCGCTTCTCAACGTCTTCACATGTGTTTCATAATTTTTTGTCTGGATAGGCATCACGGGAAATTGCATAGCCTATATCACCTGGCTCATACAGTTACTTAAAATGATACAATCGATTTACTTAATTTTTATGCAATTATTGTAGTAGTTGACATGCATTATGTTTTTTTTTTATTATTTTATTTATGCATACATTTAAGTGAACCTAGTAACTTATATTTTTTTGTTATATGTTAAGTAAACGTTGAAAAGTTAGGAATACTTAATTTTTTATGTTTGATCCAATTACTTTTATAAGTATTGGTTGTTCGGCTGCTTCAAGATCATACATGCTTTCGAATCAGTACTGTGATGTCATACACCAATCGTCTGTACTCTGTACAGTGCTGCTTCAAGATCATACTGTATGCTTTCGAATCAGTACTGTGATGTCATACACCAATCGTCTGTACTCTGGACAGTGCTGCTTCAAGATCATACTGTATGCTTTCGAATCAGTACTGTGATGTCATACACCAATCGTATGTACTCTGTACAGTGCTGCTTCAAGATACTGTATGCTTTCGAATCAGGACTGTGATGTCATAAACCAATCGTCTGTAAGGGAGACCGGGGGCAATTGTAAGGTATTTTACATTTTCCTTAATAACTCACAAACTACTTGAGATAGACTAGTCATCTTTTGATACAAGAAACATATATATGTGCACTAATTAATAATACAATTTATATATTTTCACTTATAAGTACAAGACTAAAATATTTAATTAAATGCAGTGTGGGGGCAATTGTAACACTGAGAAATAACTCCTATTAACCCACTTTATCTCAAATAAAAGCATACGTCAAAGTAATCACGTTACTGCTGTTAATTTTAAGAGTTTATATTTATTCCCACTTTGTCAAGCACATATAAAACACACATTATTTTATATAAAAAATGTTAATTGATGATTTGTTAATACTGGAACAAACATTTATTTTAATACACCCTTTTAAAATGAAGTTTTACAATAGAATTTAGTGAAATATGTCATTTTTTTTTAACAGAAAAGTATGTCAACACACACAAACAAGCTTATTACAATGGACCTTGTGGCTCGGGGGCAACTGTAACACAGTGTTACAGTGTTGTTCATGTTCGTTTTTAATCAATAACCTAGGGATAAAATGTATACAAGTTTAAATTGACAGACATCTAAACTTTAGACAGCAGAAGAAAAATACTGTACATCCAAAAAATAACTTTCACACCTCAAAATCAGTTTGTCGTTAATAACTTCTGCTAAAGTTGAAAATGTCACGCTTCTTTTCCACAGACAGAGAGAGAATCCTATTGGGCATGTACAGATTAAGTGTCATCACTCTAGCTTGTTTCTGATTGGAGGAATTGAGTGTGGTACAATTGCCCCCTGTTACAATTGCCCCCGGTCTCCCCAGTGCTTCGTCAAAGTGATCAAAGTATAGTGTATGCTTTCGAATCAGTACTGTGATGTCATACACCAATCGTCTGTACACTGCAGTATAGTGCTTCGTCAAGGTGATCAAAGTACACGCTTTCGAATCAGTACTGTGATGTCATACACCCAGGGATGTAGTGGAGGCTAAATGCACAAAAGCCGTTTACGCACCTCCCAATATTCGGGAATTGCGTTTACCCACCTCCAAAGCACCCGCTTCGAATGTTATCACTCGATTGAATGGGCGTTATCAGTGGTTATCATTCCATATATATGGGCCAGTAGGGGCCTGCTGCGCCTACTGGTAGGCTCAGAAGGCTGTTATCATCCATCCACATGGTTAATCACCGACAAATACAGGAGAAGACTCCAGCTCCAATCCCAGAATCCAGCTCGCCGGTAATCGGAAGTCTACTGAATGACGCAGCTACGTTGGAATATTTCGCGCTTGATTTTTGATAAGGTAAGAGCATTTAAATGATAAAAAACGAGCATTTAAACGGTAATTAATTAGTTAGTAAGGGAAAACAATACATAAACAATACATAAAATGTGTTTTAATGTTGCGTGACGTTATGAGATAACCGTATGATGATATTTCGCGCTTGGTATTTTCAGGTAAGAACATTTAATGATAAAACCGATCATTTATACCGTAATAATTAGTCAATAATGGAAAACAATACATAAAATGTGTTTTAATGTTGCGTGACATGAGTGTTGACATAAGTTAAGCGTATTACGATTATTTTGTAAACGTTAAACAGGCCAACGTTAGGCTCTATTACGTTATTACGTTTACGTAAAGCCTTTAGCATTACGTTAACTAACTTGCTTGTTTAATTGACCATTACAGTTGCTAAATAAGCATGTTTTTGCTCATGAGGCTACTGGGGAAATGTAGTTTCTAGTTAAACGTAAAGTTAGCCTTGCAAAATTACTTTTTCCACATTTTAAAGCAGCCTATTGCTTGATATTGTATGCTCGTTGATGCTTTACTGAAGCATAGGCCTAACCTTACTCTTATTGAGATATCTATCTATGGCACAAAATACATATCCCTTATCTGCATCCCACGCTCATTGATGTGTTTTTGTCTTTTTAGGCTGTGATAAGTACAGTTTGCACTTTGCTTATGTAATAATTGACAAATATTTTGATTTCAGATATGGGAAAAACAGTTAAGACCACACGTTCCAGGAGCGTTAAGATTAAGGTGGTGAGGAGGGGTATCTTTGGCCCAGCAAAGGTTTCTTACCTTAGTCAAGGTCTTCCCCAGCCCAACTCCAAACAGACCAACCCAACTATTACATCTCAACCTGCTGAACCTGATGATGTGTCACCGAACTGTAGTTCTGAGAGTGCATACAGTAGGGCAAAGAAGAGAGAGCTTCATGCCTGGGATGCAGTCAAGGATGACATGCTTAAGGTGTCGTTTGAATGTTCAGCACCAATCGCTACCCAGTGTGTTGTCTGCCTAGCACATGCTGATTACAGGTGCATTGAGTGCAGTACTACTGCAGTGTTTTGTGAGAGTTGTCTGAAGAGGACTCACAGAAATTCACTGCATCTTTCTGATAAGTGGAATGTAAGAACAATACCATGCAGTCATACACACAGACAACTAACTCACAGTAATTTAGATCAGATTTATTAGATACTTCAAATTGTTCTAGCATTATGTAGGATCAACTGTTCGTGTCATGAGTTTGTAGTTTTAAAAAGATTGTTAGAGCTATCAATCTTTCTTACAGAATGTCTACTATGAGCCATCCTCCCTGGGGTTATTCCTATATTTACCTGAAGGCCATAGCACCCATGCTGTGTACACAAAGGACATGAAGGTCATTGTCAGCACAGGTTTGTCATTTCATATGATTTTCTTGACAAGTTAAGGAATCCGGTCCTATGTACATGTGTGCTAATAAGTTCCTATAAGGAATTAATCAAATTTGTTTTACAATTTTGTAAAAAAAAAAAAATTGTTTGCTGATTTATGGTGTTATAGGTGACACGCACAAGCGATTTAGTCTATGCTGATATGGTAGTCTCTATAGTAGTACTTATGTTTATATATATATATATATATATATATATATATATATATATTTCCCTCTATATATTTCCCTCTATATATTTCCCTCTTTTTATTTGGCAGGACGGCTCTGCACCGTCACAGTGAATATGTGTGCATGTGAGCCAGAAACCTGCACTCTGCTCAGGTATGGTCTCTGGCCGGCAACAGCCGACAAGCCCCAGACAGCCTTCTCCATAACTCTCCTAGAGCTTTTTGTTTGTCTGTCACTGGAGTGTCAGGTTTCTGTCGAGGGTTTTTGCAACACCATGCGCTGGAAAAATAACCTCACACTTGCAGAGGTCAGTTAAAAGTCTTGCCTGTGAATTGAAAATATCAGTTACTGTACTTTCATGGAAGACTGATTCCATATGGTTGTGAAAATTACACATTTCTCCTTGATTGAAGTGCATAATTAATTATCACAACTTAAAGTAAACTTTTATGGAACCATCTAGTATTGTACATTTGCATGCAAAAGTGTTCTTAAAAGTTTTCTATCAAATAACAACTTCTGACTGAACCACCGTCACCAGATGTAAGTATACGAAACGGAACAGTGATGTTTTCACTGACTGCTGCTTATACCCTAGGTTAACACACTCTACAGAGCCCTGGTGGGAGAATCCATATCCCATTTTAGGCATCACCACTTCCGACAAAGAAGTTTGGTTGATATTTGCCCAAAATTAGATGATGGTACCAAATGCCCAGCATGCCCAAAGGTTGGTTCTAGTTCCACCATGGTCCTTGTTTGATTAACCTGATTGCATTTTCCATGACCTAATGGCATTGAATTGATATCTCAAAACTTAGTTAATTTTTGTATAAAGTGTAAAAATATTATAATAAAATAGTATTAGTATAAATGTATAAACCTGGTGCAGATACAAACCAGGATTACTGTAAGTGTTTGTTTTACAGGCGGCTGGGGATATGATTGTAACATTGGATGCCAACTTTGGCCTTGTGAGGAAGCAAAGCTCAGGTACAAGTGCGGTTGAGCCATTACACGGAACCCGCATGTTTGTTAATGAAAACGATGTAGAGGAATACCTGCTATCACATCTTGACAGCTCAGAACCTCACGAGGTTAGTCTTAGTTGCAGAATTTCATGGGCTGAGCCCATGAAAAATTAATGAAATATTTAATTAATCATTATTCCTCCCATGAATCTATGTTTTCCTTAAATCTTTAGGACTGCAGTAACTTCAAGGCTGGCAACGTGCTGAGGTCACAAAAACAAGCGAAGAAACTTGATGTTACAGGAGTGTTTGGAGCCTCTTGTCGTCATGAAATGCCCCTAATGTTTGTCAACATGAGCCAAGGAGAACGGCAAGTATATTCCACATTAGTGACATCTCTGACTATTGACCCAGTGTTCCATAATGATAATTCCCCTGTTTGAATCTACCTAGTAATATAATAAGCCATATTTTATTTATTTTTTTCAGTCAGCAAATATGAACCTTATGATGTATATTCCAAAACATTACAAACTTTACCACCATCCTATAATGTTCACTATGCAGGAGATTGTATAATTAATTTTGACTTTTCCTCAGTATAAAGTGTCCTTATTCAAATTTGTGTTAAAATAGATTAGCCTATCCCCTGTATGTCATCGATGAGCTACTTCGAAGATGTGAGGACAAGAACATACACCTCCGAATCGTTTATGACATTGCCTGTGTTGTTGCCTCACATTTGCATGTAAGTACTTTTTTGTGTAAAACTGAATTGTTGTTTTGAGAAAAGACCTTGACACATTTACTTAAACTTTTTCCATACTGTGTTCCATCAGAAATTAGGGAAGGGCATACCACACAACATCTCTTTGGCCATACCAGCATTTCACGTTTATGGACACAAATTGCCCTGCCAGGTAATTAATTTACTTTTATAGAGACATCAGTCACAGATCATTCACTCCCTGTTTGCCCTCCATTTTCCTGTCTATCAACTGCACAGCTGAAATTAAGTAGATTTGTCTAAAAGTAATCTTTATTCTGGCATTTTCCCAACTGGTGATTGTCTAAACTTGTTTCAGAGATGCATTGTTGGACAATACAGTGGAAACCGCTTCTCACAACTGTCTGGGCCAAATCACTATAAGCGGACCAAATTTGTTTTCTTTGTGTTTAATGCAGATTACTATCTAATTTTGTATAAATATTACATTCATATAAAGTTATGACATGAACAGCCTCTCTATTTTTTTCTGATACTCCACCATTTTTTCATATTAAACTGTTATTTCCTTAACCAAGACGAGTTGATGCATACCTCTCTCGTCTCAGTGCGCGCACGTGCGAGACACTTTCAGTCAGTTTATTCATTATGATCCTAACCGAGATGAAGTTGGAAGTGACCAAACACCATGCCATGTTTTATTTTGTGTCACCATACTTGGTTGTTTAACTGTATTTAAATAGGGAAAACGTGGAGGTGTTTGGTCGCTTCTAAGCTCATTTCTGTTTGGCCCTAATGAATGAACAGGACTCAAAGTGTCGCCACAAGCCAGACAGATTGAGCGCACGCACTGAGACGAGAGAGCCATGTATCAACTCGTCTTAGTTAAAGAAATAACAGTTTAATATGAAAAAATGGTGGAGTGTTCCTTTTAATGAAAAATCATCTGAGCTACACCTAGGCCCTCTCCTGCTCCAAGCTCTGTCTGAATGGTCAAGGTGAAAGCATTACACTCCACTCTCATAACATGCAGTAGGCCTAGCTGCTGCTGTGAGAGAGATGGGATGATAATTATGCACCATAAAAGTCCCAAAAAGCCAGCAGTGCAGGAACAGGAGGGCAAACTCACACATAGACCAGTGTGAGTAGAGGAAAACATCACACGGCGCGCAATTGTGCACAGCAAGCGTATGAACTAGCACACAATATGAAGACGCTAAGCGGACTATTTGATTACTATAACCAAATTATTTACACACAGCATTTCTACAGGAATGATTCTGTCCCAAGCATTTGAATCCATATAAGTGGTTGATCACTGTAACCATGATCACTATAAGCAGTTTACAGTTTAAGTAGGATCATGCTCAGTGTCAGCGTCTGTGAAATTCTACCACTTTGCTTTAATCACAGATCAAGTACAGCACTAGGCGACTCGATGGGTTTGGGCTCACAGACGGGGAAGGAATGGAAAGGCTGTGGTCTTTTCTCAGAAGATTTGCCAGAGTCACAAAGGAGATGACTCCATCTCACCGCCTTGACCTGTTGACTGATGCCCTTTTGCATTATGGACGGAGGAAATCAACTGACCTAGGTTTGTCCACTGCTGCATAACCTGTCAAAATTCTGTGCTAGTGGTTCACTGTTTATACATTTTATATCTTCTGGAGTGAAGCTGATCACTCACAAATTGTTCAGCATAAGTAAATTAAACTGTCTTTGCAGAGATGCAGCTCCTGCAAAGACTAGACAGAGCAGAGAAAATATCAATTCTCGCTCAAGAAGACATCTCATCTGTCATCAGAGAGGCACCAGGTAAGCAATGCACATAAGAAGCAGTTAACAATAGTTGTAAACTATTGTTACCTGAGTTTTAGAATCAGAATTTTAGATTCTGTTTATAAGCGCATTTTGCATGGAGTGTGTAGTATTGATGTTGTCTTGTTTTCTGTTTATTTTTGTTGTCTAGTGTTGGTTTCTGAGGGAGACATGGAGAAATGGAAAAAAAGGGAAATGGAGCTAGCCCAGCAGAAACAGAAACCAATAAGTAAGCAACTGAAGTGAATGGGTGAATGTCTTGAATACTGTATGAAGGTCATGCATATTATTAGCAAAGAATGTTGCAAATATGTTATACTTACCTTTCCGTGTACAGTAATGAAATACAATCCTGTAAGCTATGTGAAGTTACATGAAATTTAACAATTCATTAAAGCAGTAGTAGTAATATCTTTATCTGTTCTTCAGGCACTGTCTGTAGATGGAAAAGGGACTACATCATCAAGCTGATTCAGTTCTACAAGTTCAAGTAAGAGTTTGTGTTTATGTAAGACTATATGGTAATTACAGCTGTCTTTAAGTGCCCTGCTGATGTGCTTCAATATGGAAGCCTAGGTTTGATTACAGTAACAGCATAGTTTTGAAGGAAACCGTTACAATGGTTATAAATTAAGAGTTGCTATAATACTGCAGTAATTGATTATGGTGTGATTAGTAATCAATTATCACCAATGCCTCCCTAATAACGTATACAGTCTTTGGTCAGGGGTGTACCACAGTAATGCTTTCTGCTTGGTCCCTAATGCATTTTTGTGCTGTACTTTTATTTTTATTTTTATGTATAGATCTGGGAATCGTGAGTCATCCATGGAGTGTGAAACAGAGTAAGCTAGCAGTAATCGGTCACTGCACCAGGCTATCCTAGCATTGAACAAAAATTTTTCAATCAGGGACCAAGAGTACTGTGAAGGTGTTAGAAGTATAAGTGTTGTACTGTTTTGACGGTATGATATGTGAAAGTGTATGTCGATGTAGAATGTATGTTAGATATACGTTGTATATTATTTATGTTGTGTTGTTTGAAGATATAATATGTGATGTGTAAGTTTATGTCGATGTAGAATGTATGTTAGATGTTGCTAACATACACTGTTATGCAAGAAAAAATTCAGACTCGTCTGACAATAAAGTATAAAGTAAAGTAAATTAATAACATTTATTTTCTGACCGTTGTAGAATTGAGGACTCTCTGCTGAACATAGAGAAAAAACACCGGATTGGGAGAAGATGGCAAGAATCCGATTCAGACTTCCAGTCTACCCTTAAAAATGTGGACTGTGAGCTCAGAGGGCAACTAATCTTCAAAGCTAGAACTGAATCAAGGGAGAGAGCAGTCCTCCTCCATCTGAAAAGAAAATATCCAGGTAAAGTGCTGTGGATACGTAGATACATTCAGATATTGCGTTCAACTTTGAAAAGGACCATAATACAAACTAATAAATACATTTCTCTGCATGTGTGTTTCCTAACTTTGCTACAGACGGGCAGGGCATTGCCATTAGACTTTCCAAGCAGATTGCCAGTTCCAACAAGAGACTGAGGCAGGCAATAAATGAATACAACCGGATTCAGTGGCCACCGCAGAGGAGCATCTTCCCCACAATAATTGATTTTCAGGAAGCATGCGATCCCTCTTGGCAAGTCTACTTCTGCTTTGATGACACTGTAAGTATAATAACCACTGTAAGTATAGACCATTTTACAAGATGTAAACAACACTGGTCCAGAAGCACTTCCTGTTTCAGTTTGTAACCGTTTTCTTTATTTCACATGTAAAGAAAACATCTTAAAGATGTTTGTTTAACTTTTTGATTCAGTTTTAAATGTTCTGTTGGTTGTATTTTATCCCAGCTTTTATGTAGTGTTAAAAAACTGAAACAGGAAGTGCTTCTGGACCAGTGTTGTTTACATCTTGTGAAATGGTCTATATATAACCACACAGCAGTCACTCTAGAAACAATCTGACAACCACTTACCAACCCCAACTACCTGCCAATCAGTTTTGAAACCACCTGGTAACATGACATAGCTTTTTTAAATTTATTTTCTCTTTCAGATTGAAGACGATAATGTTTCGAGGAGTCTTAAACGGCGAGCAATTGATGCCATAAATATGAAGACTCGAGCAACTGAGGAAAAGGGCATGCTGTACCAGGAAATGAGAAATATTACTGAACACCTCCATCAGCAGCATGCCTTTCTTTGCTCTGCCATTAAAGACACAGATCAGCCTGGTGCAAAAGCTGCTCTCACCCAAAGACTCCATCAGGTGGAAAGAAAACGTCATCAAGCAACTGTGATGTTTCACACACATGTACAAGACATTGTCCCTGTAGACAACCCCTACTTGTGTCAGGCCCTCCCCATGTCAAGCATAGAGACTCTAGTGTACAATGAGGATGGTGATGATGATAATGAGGATGACACTGAGGATGACCATGATAACTAGGAAATGGTACTGGTATGACAGGACAGGGCCTGTATTTACAAAAGCTCACAAAGATGTGTTTTACTAGGTCTGATCTATTTTAAAGCTTAGGTACTGTATTTAAGCACATATCGACACTAGTATGCGAGTACAAAATGTGTGTTTACCACTTGTGATATTACGTATTCATTGTAATGT